AAATGATATCTCTGTGACCGGAAATATTCATCTGGACATTCAGCTGCGTTAAAAACTCGGTTAAGACAACTGACAGTACAACTGGCTGAGTAGAGACCTCTCAGAGGGAATCTTTCTGTTCCTACAACCGAATTCATCTGGTCCTCAACTAACAGAAAATTCCGTTGCACTCTGACGAAAGTTTTTTCCGTGTGATTGGGATTAACCTGATCAAGAGTACGGAATGGATTTCCAGTCGGGTACGTCGTGAATCGGTGAGCGTGCGCGTCTCGACGAAGCTCGCTCCGTGGGGGGTGTTCCGGTGAAAAATCCGAATGCTTCGTTCGATTCGCGCGTATCGGCCGTGAAATGTCCCGCGAGGCCGAGAGGCAGTTGTGTCGATGATAGTTGGGATGAATCCTCAGGCGGAAAATTCGCTTTTAATCCTTGCCTCTCCGATCAATTGCCAATCCGACTGGTCGTCCCGTATTCGCAAAATTGCCCGGAAGACTCGAGCGACTCGCCCGCGAAGTTACGTCGGGACGAGAGGGAAAGAGAGGAGGAGAGGAATAATAAACGCGCGTAAGTGTGAGACTTTCAATTAAGGACCCGCTCCCGCGCTCGCGTTCGCCAACGGGGAACTAATTGAATCTGGAACACGCTCTCATTTCGAGCGCGTCTGCTCTATTTCGACGAGATTCCTCGATCGCGGCTCTCGTCACCCCAACGCATTCGCGAGCCAAAGATTCGCCGGAACGACACTTGGGAGACGGTGGCAGACGAAGACGGACGAGAAGCGAGACGGAGAAAGAGAGACAATCGAATCCCGAATCACACTAAATAAAGAGGCAGGTGTCTTTTCCGCCTCGTTCAACGGGTACATGTCGCGCGAGCAAATGGTACTCGCGTCGTGGTAATAAATAATCATCGTTCTTCTGGCTAGTTTCGGTTAGTGGAGGAAAAACCTGCGTAGAGAACACCTCGTTGTAGCGTCCGCGGTGACGAGTGATTGTTTTCTCAGTGCCCGCGATTTGATCTCGCCGTTGGGAGCTTCTGCAGGCTCGGGCCCGCCACAAGCAGACAGGTTGCGCGTGCCATTCGCCGAGACTGTTCCGCTGGCACAGCTCTCGCCGCCTTTTCGGGCAAGAGATCCGCGCGAAGCGCGCAACGATGGCTCCCCCGGAGCCTTCTCCTTCGACATCTTCTTCTCGAGAATGCCCTTTTCCTCTGTCTCTTTCTCTTTCTTTCTGTCTCTCTCTCTTTCTCTCTCTCTCTCTCTCTCTCTCTCTCTCTTTCTCTCTTTCTCTCTCTCTCTCTCTCTCATGGCGCAAGCTCCGTGAGCGCGGCTCGACCGCTACTTTTCGTTAGCATCATTATTAATAGCGTCGAGATCGATTAATTGATTTCTGTTATAAAAAAAGGAGGAGACACGCGTTGATAAATAACGACGCGGTGTCCCGTCCCGTCTCGTCCCGGCTCCGTTCCGCCGTCAATAGAGCGTGGCGAGCCTTGCGATAACGTCAGACTCTCGTACGGATCATCGACTCTCGGCTCACCTCGCTCGAACGTGTAACCCACTCGACGCGCTCGGATCGGAGCCTAGTTCTTATCTCGCATTCGCGGGGGAGTAACTGACCGATATCGCGGCGTGCTCTGTGTATGTGCGTGTGTGTGTGTGTGTGAGCGCCGTATTAAAAATGCAACCCTCTAGAACGCAGTCTATAGACATACATTCGCGCTCGCTCGCGCTCGGCGCCGTTGTGTGCATCCCTCTCTCGCCCCCGCCGATCGAACGCTCGCCGTCATCGCGGTCGTTTACGTCCTCCCTTTCCCTTGAAGCGAGTGCAAAAACGGCTTGTATCCCTTCTTTTTTTTATTCGCCTTGATATTCGGTGAAGGTATACGTCATCGAGTTAATTAACGGCAGGCCACTCCCGGCAAATCGATCCCTCCTCCGTTTTCCTCCTCGTGAAGGAAAATTTGCCGTTGCAACTATAAACCTTGTTAGCTGAGCAAATCTATGATCGTAACACGCGGCCAGCCAGTTTCTGGTATCACAGTAACTGAGTACCAGATCTACGTAGGATTAGTGATTGTGCCTCTGATCAAGTTTAGTCAGCTTATGGCCATCTTTTCCGTATGGTCATCATACCCGATTTCAGATAATAATTAATCGCGTTAAAGTGACAGTTCTCGTCGTAATTATTAAATTTGTTTCGCAAACTGCACAATTCGACCACAATACGAATAATTTGCTGTGAGAGAACCGTGATAAGGACAAAAATGGGGTTTCCCTATCAGCAAGTTGACAATTGCGTTCACCACTTCTTCGTAGCGAAGCTGCTCTGTTATAACAGCTGATTTGGTCCGGCGTGCTATGAGATTTGTTGAATCGGGCAATTCATTTTTTTCCGTGAGCTTGTTTGAATGACGTGCGCTTCCTTCCGCGGGAAAGTACTCGCCCAATAGAACGGTACCGATTCGGTTGGCCCTTGAAATTTTCATCGACACACGAGCACTTCGCGCGCTCGTGCTTTTAGCGGTCCGGTGAGCAATACCGCTAAGCGTTGGTCGGTGATCACCTCAGAGCACTTCGGGCCTCTCTATCTACCTCTCTACATCTCTCTCTCTCTCTCTCTCTCTCTCTCTCTCTCTCTCTCTCTCTCTCTCTCTCTTTTTCTCACGTCCCACGAATCTTCGCCGATTTTCCGCGGCGGCGCGAGGATTCCTACTATTTATAAATGGTCCGAACCCGGTCGCGTTGGCGAACGGCTCGCTCGAGGCGGCGTAGCTGCTGCTGCTGCTGCTGCTGATGCTGCTGCTGCTGCTGCCGTTGCCGCCGTCGCGGTCGTCTCGCGTGGGGAACAATTCGCTACCCCATGGTAAAAATAGAAGCTCCTAGCCAGGCTAGCCGAACTCGAGACTAGAGCCGAGGCGCGAGGCACCGCTCTAGCCGCGATAGAACGGACGGACCGACGGACAGACGGACAGACGGACGGACGGACGTACGTACGTACGTACGTACGTACGTACATACATACATACATACGCGGCGCACCGGCGCAAGCGGCCCTGGCTGTGGTGCGGATGCTGACGACGACGACGACAACGACGACGACGACGATGATGCTGCTGCTGCTGGTGTTGCCGCCGAATGTTGTATGCCGAGCTGCAACCTCGTCGACCGCCGTGTCGTCGGCGTGAAGAAGATGCGCGCGTGTGCCTCCGCGTACGTGCGTGCGTGCGTGCCTACCTGGTCGGCAGTGTGCGTGTAAACGTGTCGGAAGTTCGCCGCGACGACGTTCCTCCTCGTCATCGTGTGCTTCCACTTGGCGACACCCGCTCGAGACGGAGACTTTCAGTAGCCGTCGAGGCTCTGCCGGCGGGCGCCGCGGAACCGATGCCTTCCTCTCGCGGTGGCAGCTCGCGAGACCAGTCCCGTGGATCTTAGTCATCGACCGTTTCACCAGATCCCCTCGCGGATGACTCATCGGTGAATCCGATCGGATCTTCGTGTCCCGAGGAAAGCTTGATCGCGAGATCGGAAGAGAGAGAAGCTTTCGCGCGAGAGGAATCGTTGAAAAAGAGGGAAAGATAGTGAGAGAGAGAGAGAGAGAGAGAGAGGAAAAGAAGACAGGGAGAAACGGAGAGAAAAGGCGAGAGCTGGAGACAGCGAGCACGAGAGAGAGAGAGAAAAAGAGAGAGGGGTGAAGAGACAGAGAGAGAGAGAGAGAGAGAGAGAGAGAGAGAGAGAGAGAGAGAGAGAGAGAGAGAGAGAGAGAGAGAGAG